AGCCCTACATAGAGTCTACATTTTAAAGTCAAGTCAATGAATTAATGGCTTTTCAACAACTATTTAAATTTTCAATTAAAAAACTAATTTTTACCAAAAAAATAAAATAAAATTTGGGTTTCTCGATTGTAGGTGTAGGACCCAACCATCAAGTAATGGTTGTTCTCTTTATGTTTTGAGTTTTGAATTCATTTTGAATTTTGCGTTTTGAGTGTCCATTTTGAGATTGTTGAAAAATAATATATTTTTTTGACATTTTGAAAAATTATTTTCAAAAATTGGAAAACTCGTTCTCTTTCTTCCACTCTCTCTCTCTCTCTCTCTCTCTCATTCCCCTCTCTCTCTTGTCTCTCTTGACTCCCAGAATTTCTAACTCGTATTAAATATATTATTCCTCCTAAAAAAATAATAATAATTTACTCGATATTAACAAACTGCACTTCAGTAATTTAACATAACATTGATTGCATTACAGAACAACCACACATGCATCCACTCATAAGATTAATTGGGAATTTTTAGCAATTTTGTAATTAGGGTTCTACACTGGTACACGAATAATCAATCTTCATAAATCCGGCACTCATTGGTCTCGGGATTCTCCTGGCAGAAAGACTCGAGTGGATCTTGCTGTAATTTCTCGAGCTTGAGGCGAACATCGGCTTTCGCTTAGTTGATTTCTTCCACTTCATCCCACGCCACCTTGCCCTGGTCAGAGGTCTCGTCCTCGCTGCACACTTGATTTGCTTCCACCACCTTTTGCTCAATCATCTCCGTTAGTTTCTTCTCTCTCTTATCTACTGCCCTTGAATTCCATCACCTTCTGACGAGTCTTGTCCTTCGAAGAAGGCGTGATCATGCTCATCTTGATCATGATCTTCTTCGTGCTATTGATTTCTCCATTAGATGCTGGTGGCTGTAGTGGATGGTGGCTGTGGTGGTGGTTGCAGTGGCAACGGCAGTAACGGTGGTTGAGGTGACGTTAAACTGAAAACACCCAAAACGCGTTTTGAAAATTTTAACTTGATTTTAATTGAAAACACCCAAAACGACAAATTTGTCACTTTGGATTTTCTTTGTAAATTTTTAATTTGTTTTCAAAAACGCATTTTGAAACATAGGAAAGAAAACGCATTTTTACTGTTTTGAAAAATCGAAAACAAAAAACGGCTTGAAAACGGTAAAGAAAATGACCCTAAGTGTCTAGAACCGACCACTTTCAATCTTATCCCTTTATTTGATTTAACTAAAAATTAGATTTTTAATAAATTAGATAAAAATTAATTTAACGTGTGTTCAAAAATTAATAAAAGTTATATATTCTATACAACATGTGATCAAAATTAATTATTAATTTTAATTTTAACTTTTTAACTAAATCAAATAAGAACTATAGACAGTATTTATTTAGCCCCTACTTGATTTATATACTAAAAATCATATTTTTAATAAATTTTAATAAAAATTAATGCAATATATAGTTGAAAAGTTGTGAATATCATATATATTAAAAATTAGTTGTTGACTTTAATTAAAATTTTAAACTAAATTAGATAAGGCTTTAATAAAATCTAACTGAATTGACTAGTTTAATTTTGCTCGACTTGATCCAGTACTACCGTCCGCACAATAAAAATAGGGAATTTTTCTTCAATGTCACTAAATTTGAAAGGTATACAGCAATTTGTCACTTTTACTAATGGTGTTAAAAAAATGTCACTTTTTGTTGTAAAATATTCAATTTACCATTAGTGATCCCTTTTTAAGACCATTTAATGCTCCTTAATGCTTGACTTGAATGTCATTAATACTATGAAGTGATTATTTATTTTTTGTACTATAAACATTAGATATATGTATATAGGTAATATCAGGGCCGACCCTAAAAATTTAGAGGCCCTAAACGACTAATTATTCTGAGACCCTCCAACATAATCATTTTTTCACAAGTATAACAAAATTTAAATAATTAACAATTTTATATTAAAAAGAAGACTTTATAAAATTCAAAAGATAGAGTAGCAAATCAAAACTTCTCTTACAACCTGAGAGATTAGGCTAGCAAAAAATTTAACCTTCTTACATTTTGAGGTGTAAAATTAGTAATCAAGCTACTGAAATCAAGTTTTTCGAACATATTATTTTCAATAGAAATCATAACTAATCTATTCAATCGCTTTTGTTACATGGTTGATCGAAGAAAAGATTTAAACAACTTCAACTTTGAAAAACTTCTT